AACTCCTATGCTCGCCACACCCTTGGGATCTCCAGGCCAAGAGACACAGACCTCCCAATTCTGGGTGTTCTCCATCCTTTTTATTGATGCCTTATAGTTGTGCATAATAGCAGGACTTGTTGTTACGTATTCGGACACGCGCACAGTGTAACCATACAGTGTGGCCAGTACCCCTCCCCAGCACTTCCCGTCCCTCTCCTCCCCCTCCCCCTGGTCTTTACCCTCTGCTGATCTCTCTTCATTATCATGAGGATCCCTCCACCTTTCTGTTCCTTTCTCCTCTCACCTTCCACATGAGAGGAAACATGTGACCCTTGGCTTTCTGAGTTTGGCTTATTTCACTTAACATAATACTCTCAGGTTTCATGCATTTTCCTGCAAATGACATAATTGCATTCTTCATAGCTGAATAAAACTCCATTGTGTGTATATACCACATTTTTTTTTATCCATTCTTTGTGAAACAGCTAGGCTGGTTCCATAGTTTGGCTTTTGTGAATTGTGCTGCTATGAACGTGTCATGGTAGTGTGCGGACTTTGATTCTTTAGGATAAATACTGAGGAGTGGTAAGGTTGGGTCACAGGATGGTGACCTCCATACTGATTCCCGTAGTGGGAATTTGTAATCCCGCCAGCAGTGTAAAGTGTTCCTTTCTCCCCACATCCTCTCCAGCATTTATTATTTGTATCCTTGATGGCTGCCACATTGACTGGAGTGAGATGAAATCGGAGTGAAGTTTTGATTTTCATTTCCCTAACTACAAACGCTGTTGAATATTGCTTTATATATTTTCTAGACTTTCGTACTTCTTCTTTTGAGAAAGTGTCTGTTTAGTTTCTTTGGGGTTCGTTTTTTTGTGGTGTTAAATTTTTTGCATTCTTTTTGTACATTCTTGATGTTAATCCTCTGTCAAGAGAGTAGCTAACAAAGATTCTCTCCCATTCTCAAGGTTCTCGCTTCACATTCTTAATTGTTTCCTTGCTGTGCAGAGCTTTTTAATCGATGCCATCCATTCGTTACCTCTTGGCATTATGTCCCGAGCTTTAGGAGCCTTATTGAGAAGGTTGTTGCCTGTTCCCAAAAGCCAGAGTGTTGAACCTACCCTACGTTTTCCTCTGAGAGTTACATAGTTCTGGTCTCATTTCTAGGTCTTGGATCCATTTGGAGATGACTCTTTTGCAGGGTAAGCAGTAAGGGTCTGTCTCATTCTTCTACATAGCGATAACCAGTTTCCCCAACACCATTTGTTTAAAAAAAAAAGTGTCTTTTCTCCAGTATATGTCATTTACACCTTTGTCATGGACTAGATCAAAGATTGTCTCTGTGTGGATTTTTCTCACCTAATAGTTCTAGTTTTTAAAGATTTAGGTCCGAGACACACAGTAAGACATCTAATATCTGACCAATTTAATACAATCTGAAAAAATAGTTAATATCAATTTTTAAAATAGATAAACATATATTTTATTATATTCTTAAATAACAACATCCCTGATCCAAATAGATGTTTACATGGTACTCATATTTTGTCATAATATTAATGACAATGTCACTGAAGGGAAAGAACACATCTCCACTCTAACTGGGGATGACCCCAAGTGGGTAATTCAGTGTCCACTGGATATTGATTATCACTGTGCCTCCCTCAAACTGTAAAAATATCCCTGTGCAGCCCTGTGGGTTCATTGTGGCACCCCAGGGTGCCTTGGTGCATAGTTTGAGAACTGAAGCCCTAAGCATTTATACCAATGCCTTGTTGAGAGTCCTGAGTTCTGAATAATGTGATTGAAAACCCCAAACACATTCAAGGTCAAATCAGACCTTCTAGTTATTCCCCATCTGGTATGAGACAGATTCAAGATGTGTAACCAGGAAGCACCTACCATGTGACAGAATTTAAATCATGCCGTCAGAGTACAGCAAATGAAGGAACGCTCCGTCGTCACCACCAGCCCATTCCCGCAGCTTTGCTTCCCTCGCCACCCTGAAGTGGCAAGGCTTTGATTTTTGTTCGCTCTTTGTTTCCTGTTATTTCTGTCTAGGATGTTTCTTGCAGCACCAGTGAGAAGGAATTCGGTGGCTCCGTGTCAGGGAGGCCTGTTTATTCTGACAAACTCATCAACCTCCAGGGTGTTCCTCCACCATGAAACTGATTTTCTGTCTCATCCGCTGGCTAATAAGATGTGAGGCTCTTTCCCGCCACGCAGCGGGCTGGGCTCGCCTTCCTTCCCTCCGCGCAGTGGTGGAATCGCGTCCCGGCTCCCACCGGCAGCAGAGCGCGGGGCTGGGCCCAGGAGAACCCAAGATACTGGGAGCAAGGAGAGCTAGGAGGGATCCACGCTGGGAGCAGAAGGAGAGCTGGGAGGGATCCACGCTGGGAGCAGAAGGAGACCTAGGAGGGAATGACCTCGGGAGCAGAAGGAGACCTAGGAGGGATCCACGCTGGGACCCAGCTCACTGTTGGCTGTATTCGCTTTCAGTTCTGATTTTTAAAAAAAAAAAGAAAGAAAAGAAAAGAAAAATCATCCAAGACTGAAACCTGGTGGTGCTCGTGAGAAACACGCCACCCGTCCAAAGCCAGAGATGGCTGAGAGACTAAGTGTGGCAAAAAGGAGGACCATCTTGCAAGCTGAGTGTGTGCCAGACAGGCACACACCTGGCTGTCACAGTCAGCGTCAGATCCCCTAGAACCCAAGGTCCTCCCCCAGGTCCTCATTGGCTGGGTACTAAGGGGTGTACAATCTTCCTGAATGTCCCCTAGGTTTTACTGTCTCCTACTGGGTCATTTAAAGAAATGCACCTTTAGTTGTCCCCTCCCTGTTCTCTGACGGCAGGGAGGACTTTCGGGGATTGAGTCCATTTTGGCACACAGGAAGTTTCTCTCTGTTGGTCAGGTGACCCCCTTCCCCCTGGCCTCCTGTTTGACAGAGACTGAATCTATCACACTGGGTGTTAACTGCTGGTAGCCATTTGTTCTATTTCTCGTTTAGCTGAATTTCTTACATTCTCAGTAATTTTACATTTAAAGACTAAATACTGTCTTCTGAAAATGGACCTCTGGACTTTCTGTTTCTCACATGCTGGTGACTGGTTTAAGGACATCTCCACCATTACCTTCTCCCACCACCCCAAACCTTTAAATAAAGTTAATGTCCCACAACATTCGTCTCCAGTCTCTAAAGAGAAATGGAAAAACATGCAGCTTGAGCATCCTTAACCTGAATTCCAAAGTGCTCCAAAACCTGAAACTTTTTGAACAGTGATTACATCATGCCACAAGTGGAGAACTCCACACATATGAGAGGCCACAGTCCCAACACAGGCTCACTGAACACAGTGTATACAGTTGCCTTCAGGCTCTGTGTGTGTGCAAGGTATATACAAAACAATCATTTCCCTGTTTTGACTTGGGTCCCATCTCCAAGGTACCTCATTATGTATGCACAAATATCCAAAGATTTGAAAAAATCCAAATTTCAAAATACTTCTGGCCCCACGCATTTGAGGTCAGGGATGCTCAGTACCTGAGGATCGACTGTGGCATCTCTCCATAGAGAGACGGTTGCATTCTGAAACGCCTTCCTTTTCTGCTTCTTACGTCTTGAGATCAAAATAATATTCAGGTTGGGTTTTTTAAAGCAAGAAGCTGGACACGGGGCAGGGGAGAAGGCTGTCCACATGGGGCGATGTCGTGAAGGGCAAGCGTGTTGGGTGGGCTGCCCTTTCTGAGCAAGTAGGACTGGGGGCGTCTCTGGAATGAAGGTGGTCTTGCTGCCTCCTGTTCATCTCATTTTCATCTTTCTGCTCATATTCGTCCCGTCCTACGCACAGCTGAGCCGAAGGCCTGGCTGATGTGACAGATTCCAGCCTGAGGGTCCCAAGCCTCTGCAGCTCTCTGGGTGTCCTAGACACTGGTGGCTTTCCCAGGGTGTCTCAGTGTCAGGGAGGGGTGGCATCTCCAGGGTATCACATGCAGACCCTCACCCCCAGCCTGGGCAGCAATCTTGGGTGGCTGGGGACAATGACAATAGGATAGACCATATGGAGGCCAGGAGCCCAGACAGTAGCCGAACAGGCACAGCCTTGCACGAACCAGCAGGAGTCCGCTTTTTCTGCGTCCTTCTGTGTAAGATGCAGGGTGAGGGCAGGGGCTCCCCTAGGTGCCTTGGCGGGTGGGAGGGACACAGACAGGAGCTCCGCGCACCATTGATGGCGAGAGCCAAGCAGCGCCATGCCCAAGACTCTTGAGCCTGAGCCGCCAGACCAGTCCCACCCTCGGGGCTCAGACAACAGACATTTATTTTCATAAACCTGGAGGCAGGAAGTTCAAGACCAGGGCATCAGAAGGATTGGTTTCTTCTGAGGCCTCTCTCCTGGTGCTCAGAGGGCCACCGCCTTGTATACTCACAGGTCACCCCCAGCCAATGTCCTATGCTCTGATCTCCTCTTCCTATAAGGAGACTGTCATAGGGACCCATCCTGATGACCTCATTTTATTTTAACTACCACTTTAAAGTCTACCTCCAAATGCAGTCATACTCTGAGGAGTTGGGGGTTAAAATTAAACATACGAATGCAGGGGGCAGGGGATTCAGCCTGTAATAGCCCATTTCTTTTCATAACAGGCTTTCAATACAAAGGAAGCCCATTGACATGGACACAGAAATCTTCTAGGTATATAAACAAATATTGAATGTGAAACTCTGGGATGAGCTTGCTTTCCTTGTTTCTAACAAGGACTTCGCTGCAATATTCATTTGCATTACTTTCTTCTCCGCTGGGCTGGAAACATCTGGAAGGAAGGAAACCTGACTCATTCCCCTTTGCAACCCTGCTCAGAACACTCTAGTGAAGAGTGAAGGATCCCATCAGAATTCACCAAAAAGTTAATGTGACACAGAAAACTCACGAAGGCCAGAGGAACGCACCTGATGGGTTTGGAAAAGGGGAAGAGTGTCTGGCGGAGGCAACGCCCCTGACCCACGCTGTTCTTTTGCAGTTCGTCTTTTGCCGGGACTGTAAGGAGGAGCACCACGAGGGATCCTGCAGCACCCTGCTTGAAGCCTCGGGAGCAGCTAAACAGGTACAGATGCCACACGTCCCTCCCAGGGGCTCAGTCGCTGGTGGGCGGGGGCTACTTCCTGGCAGTCCTCAAGAGTTCCTCCCTGAAGCCCAGGAGCAGACAGCTAGTCCACAGCCCTCCTCCTCGGGGGACAGTGTAGACTTCCCCATGGCATCTGGGTGATCTGGACTTCCATGACAGTTTCTCCCCAAAGGAATACAAGATAGAGGTAGGGCTTTCATGCATGATCAGAGGGGTATTTAGAGAGGAGATAAAATAATTTAACAATCTCTTTATCACAGAAATCAATACTGGTCCTACTTCTATTTTTTAAATGCCTTTGTGTCTTTTTTATTTTTTTTTGGGGGGGGGGGGTACCAGCGATTGAATCCAGGGGTGCTTAACCACTGAGCAACATCCTCAGCCCTTTTTAAATTTCACTTAGAGACAGGGTCTTGCTGAGTTGCTGAGGCTGACCTTAAGCTCATGATCCTCCTGCCTCAGCCTCCTGAGCCACTGGGTTTACAGGAATATACTGCCCCCAGCCAGCGCCGGCAGCTAAACTAAAGGTCCCTCTAGTGAATTTACTAGGACACCAAATAAACCACAGACACACAATTTACCTTTAAATCAAGCTCCAGGATGGCTCCTCTCCTCTCGGCCTCAAGCTCCCCAAATAGGAGAGCGAGGAATGCCACTAGAGGCTAACAAGAGAGAGCTAACACGTTCAGAAGTGAACTTTTATTGGGGGGGCCCTCATTCTTTAGAAAGTTCCATCCAAAAAAAGTCAAGAGGGGCAGGGTTACAAGCACAGGTAATTCCACCCCTGGGGCTGTGGGAGGCCAAGCCTACTCATGAAGACACATTCTGCTACTTCAAGGATGGGACAGTGTCTAGGGCCACTACGAAGGTGACCAGACCACTTGAAAGTGACCGACAGAGCCTCTACCAATCACAGGAAGGAAAATGCTACTCATTCAGTGTGACCGCCCCCACAGGCATGCGCCACCATACCTGACTCATTGCAAATTTTTGGTGAAAACTCTGAGTGACATGTACAGATGGTCCTCCCCTTGTGATTAGGATAGAATCTAAGTTGATAATAGTGTAAATTATTCTAAGTTGATAATAGTGTAAATTCAAAAATGCCCTGAACACATCTCACCTACCAAACATTACTGTGCACACTGTTGTCTGGGACATGGGTGATCCGGGGACTTACTGGGAGCTGTAGCTTGCTACTGCTGTCCAGCATCTTCAGAGAGGGCGGCACCACATATCACTAGCCAGGAAAAGATCAAAATTCACAATTCCAAACAGGTTTCTACTGCATAAGGTAGAAAAATCAAAACCATCGAAAGTTAGGGACTGTGTGTACAGGGATACCGGAATGTGGAAGGATGGCATTTGTAGCAATATCGTGAACTATGCTAAAGTACGTTCCAGTCCTGATTAAGTAAATATCGTGTGTCCTGAGGCTTACTTTCCAGTGTGCTATACCAGGCTCAGGGAAATGCAAATGTGTCTAATTTATGAATTATGATCAACCAAATCTTAGGGGAAAGAAGAGCTCAGCACAGTTGATGAATTTACTCATTATTTTTCTCTTAATATAGATGTTAACAAGGGTCTAAACACTAACTCCATGCAGATAAATCCTCTAGTCATTTCCTTGATAGGATCCTAGTAAACAGACATACAAATTCTATAACATTTTCATTTTATAGTAAAGAATATTAAAGACCTAAGTGATCTGAAACCAGAGCATAAAGAAGCTATTCCTATAAGGTATTCTGCGGATGTGTTTATCCAAAATTAGCATAACTAAGTAAATGTAATTAGTGAATTGGGCCTTCTCATCAGCTTCTAAATTGGTGACCAGGAGCGTATAAGGAATTTAGAAAAAGTTGTCATTTCCATAGCAAAGGGGTAAATGCTCCTTGATTTATTTTAGCTCAAGGAAATTCACATGCAAGCTCTCTTGTGCTTGCTGCAGGAATGATAGTGGTATTGAGACCCTCTGCCTGGGGTCACTGCAGCCAGGAAGAAAAGCCCATGGTTCTGGGAAATGGGATTAGTCTAGCAGTTAACACCATGTGCTCTTCGGACCACAGAGACAAGGCTTCCAAGAAGTGGTATGCTGACATCTATTTCTTTGAAAACAGAACAGTAAGATGAGGAGTGTGTCCCTTACCCTTACCCTGTCCAGGCACCTGACTGTCCCTGTAATCCTATTCATTCTTCATTCATGAGGACCCAGCCATCCTTGGCGGTGAAGTTTGTTTTCTTTTTAATGTATTAAAACCTTAACATTCAACTTAGAAAAATGGGGAAAAGAAAGTGAAAGATGACCCTGAGCACAGATGGCCCTTGTGAAGGAGCTGTGTCTACAATGTGTCTATCAGCACACATTCCACAGCCTGCTGGACTCTCCTGCAAAATGCAGTGAAGGACGGTTCCCTTCAGAGGCTTGAAGGGAAGCCATGGGGGAGCCACACAGGAAAACGAACAATTACAGCAATATGCCAAACCAGAGCACAGCAAATATATACCTCTGTACAGCACTTCCCGGGAGTCATGGAAGATGGCTCAGAGCTCATCAAGAGGATGCAGATTAGGAATGATAGACCATTCCATAAGTGGACACCGCAGGGGCAAAGGTTTGGGGCAGGGACCTCTTCAACCAGCCTCTTCCATCCATCCCTAGTCCCCAAGCCAAGAGAGAATCTGGTGCATACACGCTTAAGAGATGTTTGTTGAGGGATGGTAGCATCTACAATGAAAGAGGCATCATTCCACTTGACAAATGTGTATTAAAACACCTCTGATATGTTAGGCATTCTTCTGATCCCTGGAAATAAAGAGCAAGATAAAGTCCCCACTCTCATAGCATTTCTGTCACTTCACCGGGCACCACAGGGTGCACAAGCAATCCATATGAGAGGAGTTCCCAAACCAGACCAGGGCAAGGTGGCCCTGCCCCTAGACCTCCCAATGACGAGCCCCCTCCTACTTCTAGCCCCTGGTGACAGAGCCAGCCTCCTGTCCTCTCACAAACAAACCAAACTGACCAACAAACCTAAAGCAGAAGGTCTAGAGTATCCAGTGGGTCCACACCCACTGCACAGAGCCTGCGTTTGCTGCCATTTCCCCAAGTCTCTGAATCAATTAGGGCTCCACAGGGAAGTGACCCGGACTCAGACGGGCACATGGAGGGGGTCTTAATGGAGGGATGACCTACGGCAGTGGGGTAGGATCACAAGAACCAAACCACTGGAGTCTAGCCCAGTGGGAGCGGGACCTCGCTAGGCCAGAGGTGCCAGTGGAGGAAACGGGGGCTCTGTGAACCCCACAAGTGGGAGCTGCAGAGAAAGGGACCTCGTGACAGAAGGAATGATCCCAGAGGGTCCAGCTTTGCCAGAAATGGGCTCCAAGAAGGCCAAGAATGTGGGTGGACATCTCGACTTCTCTCTTCCACCTCTGCACTCTTACTGTTGTCTCCCACTGGCCAGATCCAGTGGGAAACCAGCCCCAGGGACCCTGGGGACACAGCTCATGAGAGTCAGCCCTGCGGGTCAGGGCAGTGGAGGGAAAAGAATCATGCTCTGTGAACCAGTTTGCCAGGGCTCCAAAGCCTCCTTATTTCAGCCCTGGTTGCTGAACCCAACAAGCTACAGCACCAACACTAAGGCCAGGTCCACTTGGTAGTAGAATGAGGGTCTGGGTTTTAAGGGAGCCCCTTACTTTCTGTCCCCTACATTTCTCTCAGTCTGCAGAGATCTCATGGAGGATGGCCTCTGAACTTCCACTGACCAAATCCTTTGAAAGGACCATCTATGCACCTCTGACCATCCAAAGTTCACCCGGCCCCTTGAAGTGCAGGCGTTAGATGCTCCTGGATGTCTGAGTTTTGCTAATACAACAAACTACCCTCCTTGGTCCTCTCCACATCTTCTTTCCCATTCAGTTCACCTGAAACTTTTTCCTCTTAGCCACTCATGGCTGCTCTCCACTCTCTTCCTCTAGAAGTGACTGGTTTCTGTTCTTTGCTATTACCCTCTCCAGCCTGGCAAGTCATTTCCCCCGGGGCCCAATCAGCTTTTCCCATGGGTTGGGCAGCTTGACTCAAAACTTAATGCATTTTTTGATTAATGCGATAATTTTTTTTCAAAAAAAAGCAAACTCAAAAATTGGTTTTAAATTGGTTTTAAAATATTGAACAAGCTTTAAGTTGAAACTGCTGAGAGTTTGGGAAATCAGTGACAGAAGATCAATCCATCTCAAGCTAATGAGAATCCAGTCCTGTGCACCTCTTCTGGCTCTCGCTGCCTTGTTCTCCTCCCCTGTTCTGTTTCTTCCCATGTTCCCCAGAGGCTTTCTAATAACTAACCACTTGCTCTTGCAAACCACATAGATCAATGCACCCTCACAGTGGTTCTAAGTCGTTGATGTTACTACTCTCCCTATTTAGCGGAAGGGCAAACTGAGACATCTTGAGTTTTAATGATGCTATCTAAAGTCACAAAGGAAATCAATTTCAGTGGTTATCCCTGATCAAGTGGTTTGGGAACAGCGACTGCTCTGTCTGGTTAATAATCCTCCTGTGTCTAAGAGGAATGTGCCCATCCCTGCCCACTGTGCTCCTACTTAACCCTCAAGACCCAGATCAGATGTCCCCTCCTCTGCGAGGCCATCTGCCCACCCCACTGCCTCCTCTAAGCCTTGAGGCAACTGAAGTGTTGTTCCTCTCTCTCCCCGGAAGGCTGAGTTTTTGCTAGTGCAGAATTTGCACCTGCTTGTCCTATCCCCCAGGGCCTGGCACATAGTAGGTACTCACTGATTGGATGAATGATAACTCCCTCCTTCATCCTCACACCTTTCTCTTCCCCAGGAGGTTGAAAAACCACCTCTAAAAAGATGGACACTCACTTCTAGACTGGGTTCCATCTCAGTAATCATTTGAAAAATAAGATTCCCATAGTCAAACGCGGTTCCCTCCACTGACCCCCTGAAGTGGGAGA